TTGAGAGTGAGCGAGCGCACGCACAAGCAGGGGGAGGGGCAGAGGGAGAAGGAGAAGCAGGCTCCCCGCTGAGCAGGGAGCCCGATGCAGGGCTGAATCTCAGGACCCTGAGATCATGACCTGAGCTGAAGGCGGATGCTTAACTGAATGAGCCATCCAGGCGCCCCTCATCCTCATTACTATGAAGTAAACTATTATAACATACTGGAAGCATAACTGATACATAAATATAAAGCATATTTAATTTGGAAAGTACAATTACACAAAACTAGCATTTTTTTAAAGCATTCCCTTGCCCAAATCTGTAAGAAGGAATCAGAGAATGATCCTATGGCAACTGTAAAAGTTGTAATGTAAACACACTAACAGGTCTATGAGGGAACACACTGCTGTACACCACCATATAAAATATTACACTAATTTGGCAATATCTATCAAAATAACCTTTGACCCAGTAATTTTATTTCTCGGTTTTTATCCTGTAAGTACACTGAGTCACTTACGAAAGAACATAAGTCAAGGTGAGTCATAGGGACTAACGTGTGGTGACTGAGTGCATACTCCAAAGCCCACATCTTGGTTTGTAAATACCACTTTCCACTAAAGGAACTGGGGCTGCTCGTTGAAATGATGATTCCACAGCTAAGAAAGTACAAGATAAATATGGAACATCTAGTTGGACCAGGAAGTATCAAAAAATGATACGAACATGTCAAAAGAACACAGAGAGGGGCTTGAAGAGGCTCCCTCTGGCCAAGTCTAAGACAATATGAACATTACAATAAATAGCATTGGATTAGAACACCCTGAATAAATTAACATTCTATGAATCCACTCTGATATAAGTGAATGAATAGGGAAGAAGTGGAATTGGAAACATCACCACTTGATCACAATCATAGTAATAACTGATTCAACCTAATATGAGAAATAAGCCTCAATAAAGAGATATTCTATAGAAAAACTGGCCTGTATTCTTCAAAAATATCAAGGTCATGGGGTGCCTGGGTGGCTCAGTCATTAAGCATCTGCCTTCAGCTCAGGTCACGATCCTAGGGTCCTGGGATCGAGCCCCACATCAGGTTCCCTGCTTGGCGGGAAGCCTGCT